GTTGTCACATAAGACAGGTGGTCTATATACACAGGTTACGCATACATTATGCCTTGGGACTGTCTAAAAGTGGTCACATAAGACAGGTGGTCTATATACACAGTTTACGCATACATTATGCCTTGGGACTGCCTAAAAGTGGTCACATAAGACAGGTGGTCTTTATACACAGGTTACGCATACATTATGCCTTGGGACTGCCTAAAAGTGGTCACATAAAACAAGTGGTCTTTATACACAGGTTGCACATACATTATGCCTTGGGACTGCCTAAAAATGGTCACTGTAGGCAGATGGTTTTTATGTTGTCAATAACGCAGGTATGACCCGAATACAAAAAAAAAAAAAATATTGATTGCTGTGGAAATCGTGTGTAAGACTTCGTGTAATTATATATGCATCAGACCACCTGGTTAATGCCTAATTGACCAATCACAGTAATTACACATTACTTCCCGACTGCTATGTAAAGCGACATTTATCACTTCACGATATTTTCCCGTATATGCATATTTATTATGATATTTCTATATAAATTCTACGGCCTCCATACTTTTAACTCGTGTCAGATTTTATGTTCCAGACGAGTCTTCGTGCTGCCGTTATACCCTAAACCTAAGTTAATGTCCAGACACAGATTGATATAGACAGGGAGACATGATAATAATAAACCAGGCTGAGTAGCGAGTCATTACAGTGGCGTTACTGTAATTGGATATTGTGAATAAAAAGTGAAAGAACCACAACCTTCAAAGTTATTAGTCCCCTAACGTCTAAATAACTGACAATACAACAGTCCATAATGTATTTACGTTCACAGTGTAAGCCAAGTAACTAGTATATCATTACAATCGCCACTGTCGACGTCCCGTATATTTGAGTAAATGAAAGGTCAAGTCGTCATTGTCACGTGACTTCGTAAGTGTCACGAGTGTTTGTGTACCAACTGAACGGTTTCAAGCCGGGGTCCAGTGACAGACTATACTAGCTGTATGCCAGTACTGATCTGCCGTTGTAGTGAAGTCAGCATTGCGTTATTCAGTAAAAGAACAGGTAAGTGATACTCAACGACGGTGATTGTCGCAGTCGCGCAGTAAGTATATGTTGTTATAAAGTAGGTATGTGTCAAGCCGAATATAATAACAATGGGGTAGCTCTGCACCACGAATGTATTTAAATGATCCACGTTGAACGTTTAGTCTAAACTGGGTAAATATTCTCAACTAAACTAAGATATATTTTTGTTTGCTTTCGTGTATTTTGAAAAGAAGTTTTGCATATTCGATGATGGATTGGTGTTCTTCTTGCTGTCCGTGACACCGACTTGACCCCGACGCCACCACGAGCTACAATGCTATACATAATACATTGTCATGCTGCACATAGTGGTTTCAAAACTACGTCTGTACATGACCTTTACTCTTTGAATGTCGTTTTATGCCATGTATTGTACATGTACATTAATTAGCAATTACATTAATTAGCAAAAAGTCGGTTTTAATAACATCGCTCTCTCGTTTGAGAACTGGTGCATATACAGCTCGAATATGTGCACACTCGCTGATAAAATGTATTTGAATAAAGAATTCTTGAAGTTGCTTGGTAACAAACATAATAAATATAAGTAGTAGTTATAGAGCGTACCATAGAATAGAATGTAAATGCTCAAACCGTCACGTGGTCAGTCATTTGCTCAGCGAATGTCATGAACATCACACGTACAAATACTTAATTGAAATAAACAGATTCCGCGTACTGTCAGATAAGTTGCGTTCGATTATGAGATCCCGCGACATCAAGTCGTACAATTCAGATGACATCACAGTGCCGCTCTAATACGCATCAGATTATAGAAATATATTACCTTGTCTCCTCTCACTATTTCGTCATTAAAAAAAATCCTTCCGCACCACGCCCAAACCAAAACAATAATTACTTTATGACAATAATGTTCAAAGATGGCCGTCGCGCCGCGCCCTGTTCGATATGATACTCATAGCGACATATACAAGATAAATTCCATTGTGTATTTATATGAAATTCGTCTCCAACCCTTTAAATAAGATGGTATCATGTAGATATGAATTAGAATATTGCCGTTCAAATGACACGTCCTAGTCTGTGACTATTTATTCTAGTAAAAACACGTACTTGCCGCGATTTTTTAAATATTATTCACTTTGTTTGCAGAATCATGAATGGACAAAGATTACAAATCCTAATAATTGTATTTTCTGTAATTGTCGTATCAACAACGTGTTGGAAACTACCCGACAATATTAGGGACACGTATTTTGGTACCATATCAAAGGAACATTCGTACACATCAACAAAAGTACATGGAAATATACCAGATTGGATCGAAGGTTAGTCTATAATTGTCTTAGTATGCTGCAGATGATCGAACACGCAGTGATCCTAGGCTGTTTTATAATTTATACATATTACAGTGTTTTTGGTCTGCCTTAGATTTGCTTACTGTTTTTGTCGAAAATAAAAAAAAATGAAAATGCCTAACATAAGAAATGACGCAGTGTTGGTTAGTGGTCGCAAAAAATACAAAAGACTTGTGTCCCTTGCGAGGTTTGGGTCGCTAATAATATTTATGCGCTGGAATTTGCACATCACGTGACCTGTTTGTATGGGTCACAGTGCTCGCCCTGATGTGAAGCACAATCACAACACGTACCTAACAAACCAGGCAAGGAGCCCGAGTTTTATGCAGCCTATTCCTTTTTTATGACTTCGCAAAACGTTGAACAATAAAACGTTCGAAAGGAATATATAATAACGAAGCAGATGATAGTTTTAATTCTATCAAATATCATCTGCATATTATGCAATTATGGTAGTATCTGACCGAAATATATCCTAGCTATGCGAATTACGTCAGTAATTTGAAATCCGTGCTCCTGAAGTCGCATTCAAGGAATACAAGTCGTTGGTTTTTCCAAAATTTAAATTTACAAAAACAAAAAAACATCAAGTCTAAACCTCTTTCTTCATACGGTATTCCGTCAATGGGTGCATCCCATTCTAATTAACTTCTTTTCCTTCTGCGAGACCAAAAGCATATTGTCTGAATTGGGCGGGTACGTTGGTTCTAGTGGTTAGATTTTATGAGTGCAAGTCTGAGTTCCAAGTCAGCCCAAGTGAGTCAGCCCAGTCCTGATTGTCTGCGGCTTGGTGTGCCCCACTTTTATAAGGCTTTTTGCCATTGGTTCGCATGTTAGGTCTAACCTGGCCCAACCATGTTTCTTATACATTGTAACAACTGCCATACATGGAGGCAAATCTACAACCCTTAACTTATACAAACAATTTCATAAGTATACTTCTAAATGAAACATACAATCGACATTTCATCGCAGTATAATAAACCCGTCACGTCCGAACATATTAAAACTCGATTTTCTTCTTATTATGTTACAGGTTATTTTTTGCATCAAAGCTGTGGTACCTATGGTAACCAGAGTAATCCAGAGATCGGTGCCAAAGCAGTCCACTCATTTGATGGACTTGGCGCTGTAGCGTCGTTCAAATTCAAAGAAGGTGCTGTCGATTTCGGTATGAGGTGGGTACGGTATCACCATCGTGAATAAAATAAAAATCTCTGGAAATGCCATTATGTATTCTTGTAATAATGTCTACTGTCTTGTGTTGTTGTTGCAGATCGTCATATGCAGCTCATGAAATGCAAATCGTTTCGCTCGTTATGATGACGATACCTGTTCATGTTAAAGGGCGGTGGTCGTCGCGCGGCGCATGTGAAAAATTTGTGTTGACTTTCACACAATCCAATGCGATCTTATAATGGAAATCAGTATGAGTTTTGTCTTGCACTAATTACCACCGGTAACTTCCAATAACTTCCAATAACCTAAAAAAATACCTAATTAAAGCCTGACAACGCCCCGGCGGTAACTGACAAAATCGCATTGTTGTTTACATGAACCTCGACTGCCATTGTATCATTCCGCTAAACTTTAAACATATTTTGGCAAAATATACCGAAAAAACCTGTATTTACCTATATTTGAGGGTTTTGATTTGAATATTCATGAGAGAACGTCATGAATCGAAATTACCAACCAGAACTTGTTTTGAAAACGAGGGCTCGGATCGTCTGCTTCTACTGGTAAATTGATTGGTTGTCTGTAATAGAAAGGAGATATGTACGCTGATTGGTGCATTCTCAAGCTACTGGGTACTACAATGCCGGCGTATTTCACCACGGCTTTGTTGTAGTAGGCAGCTGAAACCGTAAAGAGGTCGGGATTTCACGAAGATGGTGCCTTATATTCAGTCTTCTTCATTTCAGGTTCTACGAAACCCAGTCTTTTAAAATCTGGGACTATTATGACTGGGATATGGACAAATCAAAAATAGCCTGGTCTACGAGTTTCTCGCCCGTAGTAAGTGTAGTTCGAATTCGATTTTTAGTGTGAACATATCGCCACATTAATATTACTCAAGCATGCCCTGAGAGCGCCACTCTTATATATGGCCTTTGCTGTTTTAGTCGATGTACTAACAATGACACGTATGAATAAGCGGCTAAATATACGACATTTACGATGAGAGCGTATTAGTAGTTTCGGACAGTATGGAGCTTGGTCACGGCAATGGGCACAGTGTTAGATTACTTATGTGTTTAAAGTCGGTAAGTTTAGCACGTGACTGTTTTTTTTCTCCCTGTATGTAATGACATACAGGGAGAAAAAAAAAAACATACTCGGTCTTTCTTAAACGTAGAACCAAAAACAATTCAGAAAATGGGAGAATTTTCAAGACTATACTGGTGACAATCCCTTTGTTACATTTTGGAAGATTGGTGACAACGTGGAAGCTATGTCAGAGGGACCTGCAGGTTAGTGTTTTACTAAAACTACGTGTGATGTTTAAGTCACGACATCTTTCCGATTAGCGCCCTCTGGCGTATGACGTAGTTGAATGAAAGCAATTGTTCTGAGAGCAGCAACAACTGTATTTGGTTGTGTCATTGTTCGTTTTTTTGACGAATACCTACATATCAAACCAGTTACATGACACTACGAATCAGCCACAATTCTCCATGATTTGCTCTTATGGACACGAATTTTCCTGAAACTGCATAATATTTGGGATCATATTAAAATAATGAAGAGACTGTTGTATTGGTTTTGCGAAAGTACGTGTTTTTCAAATATATGACGAGAATCTTAACCCGGTATAGGGAATTCAATGATTGACCGTTGGTTTACAGAATAAACCCATTTTTTTTGCGTTAGAACCTTGTTCGAAAGTCTTAATTACAATATGACAAAAACATTAACATTGTATATGCAACAGATATATTGTACGCTTCGTCATTTTTTCACTCAGTGTGTACCACGTGACATTGAAATGACTATTCTAATGCATACAATTCTTTAAAGAAGAACTCGTCAAATCAAGACGCTGCACCGTCTTTGCCAAGGTGTCTGATGTCTGATTACACTTTCTACCATCCTGATATCCACATTTATGTCGCGAAGAATATAAGTATGAGCCCAATAGAAAGGCAACGTTTTCACTTTCACGAGTTCGCGATGTTTCAGATGAATATTCACGTGACATGATAAAAGTGGTGTGATAAATATACGATTTATGTGATATTGATCGACTGACTGTGAACGAGGCAGCAGAATGTAGGACGTACTCGGACAATAACAGGTGATACTGTAAGTCGTCGAATGAACCCTGGGAATTTTAAAATTTCTGAGTAGCTATCTGATTTGTACGTGTATATGTTTTCTTCTTTTCGCCCAGGCGTGTGGTTTGACCTTGAAAGTCTCGAGACAAAAGGGGAATATCCATTTAAAGACAACAACTTTGGTTTTCCTGATTACATGACGCCTATAAACAACCCAGCACATGAACACTATGGCGAAGACGGAGTTACGGTGTACGGGGTGACAGCGATGATGAATGTCAGTGACGTAACAAATATAAACATTATGTAAGTACGTAAGAATCACTACCACGGTGAAAAGGATTATTTGATATTCATTTGACATGCAACGCAGCACTCATGACATATCAATGTCAAGTCAGAAAAAAATATCTAAAGGCTGCAAACTGAGTAATGAGCTTGCAAAAAGACGTTGCTCGGACACGTTTTAATAGTTCAACACAAATAGTACAGCGAGACTAAGCTTGTTGCAGTAGGGGCCGGTGATCCCAGTATACGAAACGTTCTATCACCGACGAACGAAAAATCAATAGAAAGTTTGTGATTTGTGAGAAGTCAAGGCAACCATATGACCAGTGGTCCATTTATCTTGATTTCGTCATTTTGTTTCACTTCCAGGCGAATGATATATAAAATCCAAGACGAAGAAAGAATACCCATGGTCTTATTTCAGGAAGCCGGTCCGCTAGATTCCCGTCTGTGTAACGACGAAGGCACATACCCAAAGTTAAAAGATCGTAGCGGATATCTACATTCCTTCGCCATGACTCAAAACTATTTTGTTTTACCTATAAGTACATTTTTCATAGACTTGTGCAAAATTTTCAGTAAGTTAAGTTATGCCATCATTGTATTTACGTATTCATTCACTAATCTATTGTTTAAAATGTGTGACATTTGTGTTGATAAACATAGATTTGGCCACAATCCAACGCGCTCTTCTAATGGTAATCACAAGTACGAGTTTTGAGCTGGGCGCGACGTGAACTAATTACCGCCCGTAAAATTGTCTAGTTAAAACTTAGCAAGGTCTCAGTTTGTACTCGTTGGTCTGCATAACAGTCAAGTCGCCATCTTTGTTCATACGAGACCATCTCTCGCACATGCGTGGCGCGACGACCACCGTCATTTAACCCATTGAGCGCCAATGTAAACTTTTCGTCATCGTTCACAAAATGAAACCCAATTGTTATTTTCAACACATTTTGACCAAGACGTGTAGTCATGTCCGTTAGTATCAACATTGTCAAAATATAAAGCTCGAAAGAGAAAACAATATTGCGTTAACATTTTGGCGGGAAACATTATTGCTCTCAAAGAGTTGATAAAGTGTATTGACATTATAGATTGTGAACTTCTTAGGCAAATTGAATATAATCTAACATAGCTACCTTCATTGAAATGTCTACGTTCACATGTGTCCAGTAGATACTCTGATCCCCAACCTTTGTATCTTTTATATTATATAATTGATATTGTGGATACAATCTGTACATTAAGAATATCCCTCTATTTTCCTACATTATAATATTTTTTGCATTGCTATATAATACTACCTTTGCAGAAAGTAAACCATCAGACCCAGTATTGCCTGGATTCGCGTCTTACTATAACTATACGAAGGATATTCCCACCAGATTTGTTATCGTTAGTAAACAAAGTAATCAAGTCGTCGGTGAGTTTACAACATCAGATGGAATCTTCGTCACACACCAGGTAATTGCTTTTCTCACCCCTGTTTTGATTCATTGTTGTATTTATTCTAAGTGTGAATATTTGCAAATTTCTGGTGAGCATGCGCAGTCTCTGCGATTACGTCATCGTGCACGATTATTAGCAGCACAGGCATACTGAGTTTTGGGAAACACTTACATGCACTCGCGTTGTCACGTATAATATGCACTTTACATATATATTAGAATGACTATATATTAATAAACTGCTAGTTGCGAACAAGGATGGACAGAAATGGTGGACTACGTCGTACTCTGACAACCATGCCACGTGACACGAATAGCCGCTAATGATGTATTATACAGATCTATTAATAGTCTGGAATCATTCCGACCAATATACGCCAGACCTCTAACCGCCTAGATACGTTGCTATTAATATCTTATTGCTGACAGCTATTGGCTTTCTGATTTTGTCAAATGAAAATTATTATTACCATGAGACACTATTCTATTAGAAATGAAACACTGACTGAAGAGCAAAAACAAGTCACGTGGCGCTCTCGTTCTGAACGAGATTCCGGCAGCCATGTTATGATTTAAACAAATCTTTATTCGATTTCACCTCTATTTGACGCATCTTATTTTTCTTCCTAGTTGAACTCGTACGAGAAAGACGGTCTGATGTATTTAGATATGCTGACATACCATGCCAATATTTATGCTCTACTAACTATCAAAAATATCGTCGAAAAACCCACGGTGAGGAATGTCTGAGTTTTGGCAATTGAACATTGTTTTTGAAGATCATTATCACTCCACACTCGGTAAACTGCCGAATTGTGTTCGCGATTGACGATGTCGAATTTCATCACTTCTGTATTGCTATTGAGCCCTGAAAGATGAGAAACGTTTGGATATATTATTATTTTGATAACGCCGCGTATTTACAAAAAAATATATCACTATCTGCTGTGGTATTGTAAAGGTATTTCAACAGCGCCCTCGGTCGTCCGAAACAAGTCCCGCTTTCGTTTACTTGTACTCTCCCGTTACCACACAAGAGCCATGCATTATTTGTATGACGTCATTTTGTTTCAGACTCCCATTGACACACATGTAGAGCGTTTTGTGATTGACATGTCTGATTGGTCGCTTGTTAAGAGAATTGACCTGTACCCATCAGCAGAGTTTAAGACAGTGGAGTTCTCCACTATAAATTACGAACATTACAGCAGCAAACCGTATAAATACGCCTACATGACCGGATTGAACCCAGCAGTCACCACGCTAATCAAGGTTGGTATTAAAGCGGGGAGGGGGGGTCGTCGTCACCTGTGCACGCGCGACAAATGAGTCCCAAGCGACGATAATAACACACGCTAAAAACGCAAAGGCTCATGGGTAGACACTTGTTTGTGAACAACGACACGCTATGGCCGGTGACGACTCCCTCACTCTAAAGGTTGGACCATCATTATTGGTGGATGTGGCCGGCTCGGTCAACATTTGGACATGGTGTATTGTTTTTTTATGAACCAATTGCATGCTAGTATTCAGATCACGTGTTCCAGATCATTTCTTCCTCTTGTTTGTCTGTTCTCTAAGCGTCAGCATAGTTTGTCAGAGCTTCGTTTTCGCGAATCTTCTGGGTTGATGTGAAGCTACTTAAAAGATTGTGCCTGATTGGCTACTCAACCTTAACACCTTATAGTTTGACCAATCAGAGAGCATCTTGTTGATAATTTTTTTTTCGACGTATCAAATTCCACCCTATATATTTCGACTCCACTCAACCAGGCTCCAAGCTGACTCGGTCACTCACTAAATGCTATTTTTCGACAATGCGGTGCCATTCATTCCAACTTTGTCACCCCTCTGGGGATAAATGTCCACCCACTGCAATCAACACCTATCCATAGCGTTATGTATGCGATATACACGATTGAAGGGGGGGTCAAATGATGTGTGTATCGAGGGCCGATTAGCAGGGAACTATTCAACTGGTGTTTGCAGTGAACTAAATTAGGGCTAATTGACGCCACATCCGTCTGTGTATATACTGTGACACTTATAATACCGCTCGTTCGTAAATCGTAACTGTTATTTAGAATGAAACTGACGTTTGACGTTTAGACTGAAAATGGCGTTTGTATTCGTGCGCCACATTAAATAAATCCTTTCACTGCTTTGCAGCTGAACGTGGAGACAAATAAGGCTGTGTATTGGGGTCCCCATGATGGTCTGTTACCCAGTGAACCCATTTTTATACCAAGTCCTAATGCTGTTGATGAAGATGATGGCGTCATAGTTACTAATGTCTTGGACACAAATACTTCCAAAGGTAAGCATCTTTTGCGCAATCATATTTTGTGAAACTACTTCTTGTATTCTGAATGGTATATGACGACAGGTCGTTTTCCTAATTTGGTAATGGCCGCTGAGATCTTGCTAGGAGCGAGAAGGCCACGAGACTTGTTTTTGCTCTTCGAATATTGTTCCATTCTCTCAAATCATCAAGTTACCGTTCAACTATTTCAAATACTGTGCTTGCATACGTCAAGGGAACGGTCAACGTGAGCAAACAACTTAAAACACATCGAGCTCAGTTAGTTCTGGGCTCATCCGGGAATGAACGGAATATAATCATCGCAAATCATAGCCTACTTGTGCGTGTGAAATGAACTTGTCATTGCCATTTTGGTTCAAGCAATGCATCTGTTTTATGTACAGGAATAGTCGTGGTGCTGGACGCAAAGAGCTTCACTGAGTTAGGCCGTGCCGTTTCATCGGAACTTATGCCGTTTGGTCTGCACAGTAGATTCATAGCGAGGAAGTTCGAGCGGCGATCCAGACATTCCTTACTCAGATTTTTATCGGATTCGTCTGTGCACAAGGTTACACGTGTGTAAATATTGTTGGCAATGTTCAAATGTAAATTAACATTAAGATTCACCTAAATTTCGCATGAATTTGAACTAGACAGTTCGATTCGGAGTTTCCTGTAAATTACTGAAAATATAAGAATTGAAGTTCGCTATTGTTATGTTTTGAATTGTAATTAATTGATTAATACCCATACCCAAAAGTAGAATACCAATAATTCATAGCTGTCAGAACACAAGTACTAACAATTACTAAATATGTTTTTATATTATTTTTTTCTTCATTGAGGAAACACATATGTTGAAAACAAGTTCATTCTCTGCGTTATTCGTTGTGAGAGATAGATCACTCTGGTGCAACATGATACTCTTTCAGATATTTATACTATTGGTTACCATGGGTACAATATCTCGACAATGATAGCATTATATCATGAAGAAGAGCTCCTAGCTTCACGAAGTTGTGAAAGAGGATCGATTTCTTCGTGCAGTGCGCGCAATGTTGGTAAAAACCAACCAGATATGCATGACGGAGAACAGTTTTAACACATTGAAATAGTGCGCACACGAGCATCTGCTAATGACCCTTCGTTTAAGTGAAGTGCAATTCTTTTACGTCATTACAACATTGTGAACACACGCATGACACATTAAGAAAACTAACGCAAGAAGAGGGGAGAATTACTATTTTTGTTTATAATAAAAGTAGTTATTTTGGGTCTCTTCATCAAACCCTGTGACATATAGTATTGATAACACTAGAATGAACACGTGACATAAGCTACCAAATTTATGTTTAAAATTGAATGTGTATTTCTATTGTTAGGAAGCTCTACTTAACAAAACTAAACATTTAGGCGAGCACAGTGGAAAGGTAATATTTCCCAACTACCGTACAAAAATGTGTATCATTATGTAACTTCATCAGTGGGTAACAATACAAAATATACGGTCCCTGCTTCCTACTCCACGCTGTGTTTATGGATGGTACAATAGTTGCGCCTGATCGTCAGAGAGCGCAATCTTAAGAGTGGCGCCGCAATATTTTTTTCATTCTCGCAATATTTTTCGAAACATTATCTTGTGCCACGGACAGCAATTACAGAGCATGTTGAAAACGCAAAACCTTCGTGCTTTTATTTCTCTTGCCTCAATGTTATGATGTTCATATTTGGTATATTGCTTAATGCATGCCATTGACATTACGAGTGACTCACGTGGGACTGACATGTACTCAAATAACATACCATGCGCATACAAGAGTATCTTTATACAATGGCGGATTTTGGGTGTTAATTTAATAAGGCCGCACCGTTACAATGACGTCAGTGCCGCATTGCATTGTAGTCTACATGATTGTGCAGCTACGGGTTCAGTATGGTACGCACCCGCTGCGCTTACTTCTAAATTTGCCACTGTTATACAGTTCTTGTTGAATGTAGTCAGGCCCTTAACATTTTTACAATTTCAATAAATAGACAAAAAAATAAACAAATAAACAAACAAAAGAATAAACAAATAAACAAACAAAGGAATAAATAAATATATAAAT